TCGAAGACGGCTCTTCCTCCTTTCGCCCCACAAGAGAGGTCTTCTCCAGGCCAAAACCTGACCTCATCCTTCCCTCAGAATCGCATTGCATATTCTCAATGCTGGGGGGTGGGGTGGGGCAGATTCTGCCTGACGTCGTCTCAGCCAGGGCCCATCACAAGGAAGGCTAAGAGGGCCGCGGGGCCCAGGCTTCACATTCACGGAGGGCCTCAAATTTAGACTTTTGACGTTATCTCCGAATGAGATGGTGCCGATGGTCACAGAGGTATGCTGACAGGACGGAAAGAAGAGCATGTTCAGCGGACAACTTTTAACTGGTGTTCCGTTGCCAAAACACGGTCTCTAATACCCTATAGGAGCCTCAAAAAATGGAAACAGCCGAGGCTGCCCTCGAGCTCTGAGAGGCCCTGGGGTCAGCCTCTACCCACCCAGGCTCTTCCTGGCAACAGCTCTCTGAGGTCTTGGGCATAGGCCGCCCTCCAGAAGGCCCCTGGTTCAACCCCGGCGGCACCCACCATCAAATTAAAGAGCTGGGCAGAGTGAGAAGGACCCCAGGGAGAGCCGTTGCCTGAATGGAGGCAAGAGTGACCCGGACAAGGACGCTTCACGCAGCCATGGACGAGCGGCAGAAGGCAGCTCCTCACAGCCACGTGGAATCGCCTTCTGCCCCTCGTCCATCCAGCCCAGGCTTGGCTCCTCGGTCTGGGGTCCACTCTCCAGGACCTACCCTGCTTCCCGAGTGGTGGACGCCACAAAGGGTCACCCGCAGAGCAGAGAGCAGGTGCTTCTGCCCTTGACCCCTCTGGCCTTTGGGCAGACGTAAATAAGCACAGGAAGCCAAACGCAGAAGATACCCACAATCTAGCTTGGACCCCACCAAATCTTCTCTGTATTTGTGGCAGTTGTCGACTACTGCCAGAAGAGGAGACTGGATTTATACCCCGCCCTTCACTACCCAAAGGAGTCTCAGGGCGGTTTAAAACTCCTCTCCCTTCCCCTCCCCACAACAGACACCCTGTGAGGTAGGTGGGGCTGAGAGAGCTCTGACAGAAACGGCTCTTTACCGAGAACAGCTGTGCCGGAACTACGGCTTGCCCAAGGTCATCCAGCCAGGTGCAAGTGGAGGAGCGGGGAATCAAACCCGGTTCTCCCAGATTAGAGTCCATAAGAACATAAGAGACGCCAATGTTGGATCAGGCCAAAGGCCCTTCCAGTCCAACACTCTGTGTCACACAGTGGCCAGAAATACCAATGCCATCAGGAGGTCCACCAGTGGGGCCAGGACATTAGAAGCCCTCCCACTGTTGACCCCCCCCCAAGCACCAAGAAGACAGAGCATCACTTGCCCCAGAGCCCCTATCTATTCCTTGTGGCTAATAGCCACTGATGGACCTCTGCTCCATATGCTTATCTAATTTCCGTTTGAAGCCATCTATGCTTGTAGCCGCCACCACTTCCTGTGGCAGTGAATTCCAAGTGTTAATCACTCTTTGGGTGAAGAAGTACTTCCCTTTTATCCGTTCTAACCAGACCACTCAGCAATTTCATTGAGTGCCCATGAGTTCTTGTATTGTGAGAAAGGGAGAAAAGTACCTCTTTCTCTACCTGCTCTTTCCCCTGCATAATCTCATGAACCTCAATCATGTCACCCCTCAGTTGTCATTTCTCCAAGCTAAAGAGCCCAAAGCGCTTTAACCTTTCCTCATAGGGAAAGTGTTCCAACCCTTTTATCATTCGAGTTGCCCTTTTCTGCACTTTTTCCAAAGGTATAATATCTTTTTTAAGGTGTGGTGACCAGAATTGCACACAGTATTCCAAATGAGGTCGCACCATTGATTTATATAGGGGCTTTATGATATTGGCTGATCTGTTTTCAATACCCTTCCTAATAATCCCCAGCATAGCATTGGCCTTTTTTATTGCAGTCACACACTGTCTCGACATTTTCAGTGAGTACCCCTCCACTGGGAGAACTGCCCATTTATACTCACTCTCTGTTTTCTATGAATTAGTCGGTTTTTGATCCATAAAATTAATTAGCCAGTTTTTCCATGATTTTTGAGCTTACTTAGGAGCCTTTGATGAGGAACTTTATCAAAAGCTTTCTGGAAGTAAAGGTAAACAATATCTATTGGATCCCCCTTGTCCACGTTTGTTCACCCCCTCAAAGAACACTAACAGGTTAGTGAGACAAGATCTTCCCTTACAGAACCCATGCTGAGTCTGCCTCAACAGGTTTTGTTCATCTATGTGCCTACTAATTCTTTCCTTAATAATGGTTTCCACCAATTTACTCGGTATCGACGTCAGACTGACTGGCCTGTAATTTCCCAGATCTCCTCTGGAACCCTTTTTAAAGATGGGAGTGACATTTGCTACCTTCCAGTCCTCAGGAATGGAGGCAGATTTTAAGGAAAGATTACATATCTTTGTCAGGAGATCCACAAGTTCACATTTGAGTTCTTTCAGAACTCTCGGATGTATGCCATCTGGGCCTGGTGATTTATCAGTTTCTAAGTTGTCTATCAGTTTTAGGACCTCCTCTCTCGTCACCTCAATCTGACTCAGGTCTTTCAACACCCCTCCCGAAATCAGTGGTTCTGGAGTGGGCAAGCACTTCTCACCTTCTACAGTGAAGGCAGAGGCAAAAAATGCATTTAGCTTCTCAGCCATTTCAATCTTCATCCTTCAGTCCGCGTGCTTAACCACTGCACTACACCAAAAGGGGGGCCCCACCACCTCAGTACGCCAAACGCCACCCAGGGGGACTCTCCCACACAAGGAGGCTCCAGTGAAACGAGACGTTGTGGACAAATGCCTTTAATCACAAGTCGGACTCAACAGAAACATCAAGCCATGGAGGATCAAAATGAATTTTGCTCTTCACGCTGGAAACGCAGACAGCAAAGCACACAGTCACCGTCTCGGTTCTCCTTGGAACACGTTCCGGGTCACCTGCCGCGAAACTGGACACTTTGTGCCCAGTCGTCCCTGCTGAAAATCATCCCTGCCGAAGACGAACCTGCCCGCTCGAAAGCAGTCATCCCGATACCCACTGCGAGTCGTTCCGTTGCCCCCTTTCTGACCTACGCAGGATGCTTTCCTTTGCAAAAATGTCAAGACAAACCTTATCTACTCAGATGGACGCACTCTGCTGCTTCAGGCTGCGGACATGAACCATGTGTGTGTGGGGGGGGGGGGGGGGGGAATCAACCTGACAACGACAGCTGTGCAGTTTCCAGCTTGGGGAAAGCGACCGAGAAGCCACCCCGGGGGCTGCATTGCTCCAGACCAAGAGCTGATCCCTTCAGCCCCCGGAGGACGCCGGCAGAGTCCAAACCCAGTTTCCAAACTGGCGGGCTCCGAGGGGTTCCGATTTCTATGCCAGGCGGAAGGGGAAGATCATACCCAAGAAGAGCCCAGAAAGACAATTTAGGTCTCCCGACCCGTGAAGTTACACAATAGGAATTATTCTAGCATTGGTCCGTTCGTTAACACCTTGCAGTAGACCTAACGGATCTTTCCCGGTGACTGTCACACAGCGGGGGGGATGCCAGGTGGCCAATCGTGTTGTCGGTGGGCTGGGCCGACATGCTGCGCCCCTTTCGTCTGTGCAGCTGCCCCCTCCTCCCTTTCGGTCAGCGGCCTCATCACCGGCAGCATCCAGAAGCGCTGCACTGCCGCAACAGGAGGTCGGCAACCCAGCTGAGCGTGGTAGGCAGAGAACAAGCGATGCCTCAGGCGCTGGAGCTCCTTCCCACTTCCCTGATGAAGAGCCTCGGCAGGGAGTCAGAGCGCCGACACTCTGCAACTCTCAGGCACGCACACAGACCCACAACTGTGAAAGGCCTGCAGCCTATCCCCCCTCTGAGAAGATCAGCCAACCAGATTTAAGAATTCAGGTCTGAAAGACGGGGATGGAAGTGTGCTCTCAAGCCCGGAACTTTGCAAGGCCCAAAACACATCTCGCTACCTAAGGGGGGAGTCTCCTTTGCTATCTATCCCACCCTGCCGCCCTTGGCTTCCCGTTGCCGCCGTGTTTCCTCCCACTCTGTTGGGACTTATGTTGCTTTGGAAGCTTCTTTCCTAACCTCCCCTCTGCCACTTCTGCTCACTGCCACGCGCCACAACAGGCCAGAGAGCAACGGGACCCCACAACTGTCTCTGAGCCCCAACCTGGGTGTGCTTTCAGAAACCGGGTTACAAAATCTATCGCTGAATGGGCAACATGTGACATACAACCTATTTGCGCCTTACAGTGAGTAACTACGCTTTCTGGAACAAAAAAGTAACCATGACGACTCTCTATCGCCATTTGGAAATGGACAACTACCTGGGGTCAGCTCAGCCATGGGCTGCAGGTATGAAAAGGATTCTCTCCCCCAAACTAACCGAGCAAGGACTTCTGCTGGTTCTGTCCTTGCAAGGCAGGGTTTTTTGTTGAAGTAGTTTCCTTTGTACCTGCCTTAAATCCAGAATGGCTGATTTTTTAAGAAACCCGATTCCTGCCTCCCACATCGAGGCAAATCATTACATGCCAAAAGCAGCCCCAGGACTCCACTGGGCCAGCAAGCGCTTCTCTTTTAAAGCCGTCCCACTGCAGTGGTGTTTGGGAGAACGCCGGCCTCCAGAAGGCTGTGCCCAAAAAGTGCCACGAGACCCTGGGTCGCTGGCATCTGAAACACGGGTTATGTCCGGAGTGTGATCAACCACAACTAAACATGGCCTTTTGCAACTAAATCTCTAATGCTTCCACTCACCAGGGGATAATGCACAATAGTTCCACGGAAACTCACAGAATGAGACATGGAGACACCAAGAATTTAGAGAACTATCTACAAATGGCAGCTGCCGAACCATTTGGAGAAGGGGAACACAGGGGGAAGATGCTCGTCCCGGGGGGGGCACTTGGTTTAGCTCCAAGGTCTCGTCTGTTGTTCCCGCAGGGTTCAGTGACACATGAAGCTGCCTTATACTGAATCAGATCAATGATCCAGCAAGGTCAGTATTGCATACTCAGACTGGCAGGGACCCTCCAGGGTCTCAGACCGAGGTCTTTCACACCATCGGTTGCTTGGTCGTTTTAAACAGGAGAAGCTGGGGATTGAACCTGGGACCTTCTGCGTGCCAAACAGGGGCTCTTCCACTGAGCCACGGCCCCACTGACATCGCTACCGATGTTGCTGCCCTGGGTCTATGAGGAGCTCGGAAACTTCCCAGGATGGCTCCAGGTGAAACGCTGAGAGCAGTTCCCAAACCCCAGGTCTTTAAATGTGCGCGTCTTAGTAGGGTTTGTTCCAAGGGATTCACGAAAAGGCAACTGGAAGAGGGAGAAACAAACCACACACAGAGAATGCTTCAGGAGCAAACACAGGACGCGGCCGATGCAAAGTCATTTCTCCCGAGCTCCCAGGCCCCAAGATAAGCCTGCTCCCCTTGACTGCCTTCCCCCAAGTGGGGTCCCCACCTTGGCAGCGACACTCCAGCATTGCACAAAGTTTCTTTGGGTGGGGCAGAGGACCAGGTCTGCAAGGAACGAAAGAGCCCAGAGGCGAAGGACCTTCCTAGCTTGGCATTTGACCAAGGGAGTGGAAAAAGCCCCCCCCCCGCACAACAAATACCTCTGGTACCAGAAGAAGTCTTCTTGACAGATCCTGGGGACGCTGTTGGCCTCTCACCTCTGTGAGAAGAGAGCCGTCCCACAGTGAACTCACCCTGCCCCCTCCCCAGTCCAGGAAAACACTCGCAAAGCAAGCCAACCAGATGCCACAACATGACAACCCATCAGTTCTCTGCGTGGCAGGTCAGGACGGAGCTGTCGCAGACAGGGAATGTGGGTCTCCCCCCCCCAACTAAGGACCACTGCCCATGCGCCATCTGATCAAGGGTGCACATCTCAAGAGCTCCCACGAGCGAGAGCAGGTGAAGGGCGTTTAGGAGTCGAAACCAAGGGCTGGGACGCGGTCCAGTGCAGAATGCTGGCCTGGCCAGGCAGAGGTGACTACCCGCAGCTATTCTGAGAGCCTTAAGCAACTAACAAGGACCCGGAAGGGTAAAGAGACCCGCCCTGCCAGGCAGGGGGAGGGGGGTTTGCCTCGCAGAGCAGGGAAGTGTCAAGACGTCGCTAATTTAGTCATGGAACTCTGGCAGATGCAGAGTCCTCGCGTCCGGCTGCCCAGGTTAGCAGGAGGGCGGAATCCCAGGCCATCCTGCCGGGATCCGGAGAGTCGCCACGTCTCTTCCTCAGGGTCCGCCGCTGTAAGAATAGTCTGCCTTGTTGTGCATCACCAGTTCGTTGTCTACAAAGTAGAAACTGTCCGACTGGGTTTCGTAGGGGTGAAGGATCATCTCCTGGACTGGGAAAAGAAAAGGGGGGGGGGAGGCATAATTAAGATCCCGCCCTTCTGTTGGCTTCGTAGCAAACCAGCACATGCATCTAGGGCGGGGTTAACCAATGTGGTGCCTGCCAACAGCTTTCCTGATGCTGGCCGGTGGGCGTGGCTTGATGGGGACTGGTTGTGGGAAGTGGGTGTGGCTTGGTGATGGGAAGTGTTTGTGGCTTGGTGGGGATTGGTTGTGGAAAGTGGGCGTGGCTTGCTGAGGACTAGTTGTGGAAAGTGGGTGTGGGTTGGTGGGGTGTGGAACGTAGGTGTGGTTTGGTGGGACGTGGTTGTGGAAAGTGGGAGTGGCTTGGCGGGGAGTGGTTGTGGAAAGTGGGAGTGGCTTGGCAGGAATTGGTTGTGCAGATTAAAAGGCATCCTATTAAACAGATTTTCTGCCTGAAATGCTGAAGAGTTACTATCAGAGTTATATATAACCTTGCTCCCTGACACGTGGTTGGCACTGCTTCCTGTGCCAGCCATTTTGTGACTGGCCCCACCTCCTGTGGCAGCCATTTTGTGATTGTGCCCACTGCCCTGTGTCAGAGTTCCAAAAGTGGCCACAGGCTCAGAAAGGTTGAGGACCCCCAATCTCGGGCAAGTGCTATGGCAAGAGGTCCAAGGCACCCTCTAAGCCAGGGGTGTCAAACATGCGGCCCCGGGGGCTGGATCAAGCCCCCGGAGGGCTTCTATCAGGCCTACAGTGGAACTGGCTGTCTTCTGCTTCTTTTTCCAGTTTTGCTACTGCTGCGTCATCGTAGGTTTGCTGGGCACTACCTGTGCATGCCCAATCAGCTGTGCCTGAAGTGGGCTTGGAGACAGAGTGGGTTAGTCTAGTCTAGTCACTGCTGCGAGATATGGCACTAAAAATAACACTAATAGGCAGTCATTCAAAACTTCTTCAAGGCTGGGGTTCTTCAAAAGGGGGGGGGTGTTACCCTGTAGTTTGTTTGTACCAGCAGAAGACAGGACATGGGCACGTCTGAATTTCTCTAGCACAGGGGTGTCAAACATAAGGCCCGAGGGCCAGAACTGGCCCATTCAGGGCTCTTATGCGGCTCGCGAGCAACTAGTGCAAGGGAGGAAGCAGGAGACTGTGGGCGGGGAGTGGGCGGAGCCACTCCGACTGTGCCTTCGGCATGACAGAACAACCTCATCTGCAGCAGTCAAGCAGCATGGGGGTGCCTGCCCAGTGCTACACCACTGGGTCTCCAGTCCACCCATGTCGGTTTTCCTTTGCACCCCCCTCCCAGCCCATGGGGCCTTGCAGTGAGGATACACCAACTCGGAGCTTACCAGCTGCTGCCCTTTATACAGTTTATATCCCTGGTACCTGGCATTACGATTTATGGCATGCATGGCCCGGCCTGACATTTATGTCAGTTCTGGCCCTTGTAACAAATGAGTTCGACACCTCTGCTCTAGCACAACTAACAACTTTTGTAAATGCACCCAATGTCCTATAATTGTTGGGGCAGAAGGTTGGCAGCAGACTGGAGTGAACCCCCACCCCCATGCACACTCCTCCAAGAATCACCAGCTGTTCCCTTAGAAGAGGAAGGGTCTTCTGAAGGGTATCCACATAGCTGACCCGCTCCCGCCCCACTTACTGAGGTCCTCGGAGAGCTGTGGAAATTCATAGATGTGCTCGCACGTATTTTTACTGCTGGGGATGCAGAAGCCAAATTCGAAATCAAAGCTCTTCAGCAGCTGGTCCCGAAAATAGTGCCTCTCGATCATGCGGAAGTTATTGATGGGTTTGTCGCCGACTGTGAACTCCACCCTGCGAGGGAGAGAGGGCAATGGTTTGCTCCCGGGAAGACCCACGTGCTCCCCGGGCCAAGAACCCGCACGCTGGATAGCCAGTTAGGTAGTGCTACGAGGACGCCAGGCTTCAGATCCCCCCCGCTCCCGGCCATGCCTAATGTATCTGTCCTCCCTTCTGTCACCTTTTGGCACCTCTGGTGAGAGCACCCTGGCTGCACCAAACAAGGGAGAGGCAGGGAAAGCTGCCCAGCAGAAGTGGGGTTGCTGCTCTGAGACCCTGGCAGGGACGATACCTCCTGCTGGGCATTTTTGTGGATCTGTGTTTTGCTTTGCACCAAGGACCGTGCAGCTCGATCAGGGGTGGCCAAGCTTGCTTAAACGTAACAGCCACAAAGAATAAACGTCAGCTGTTTGAGAGCCGCAAGATATGAATACACACATATTTATTGGAAAGTATGCAAATTTATATATTAAATTAAAGAGACAAATGCCTTCTCCAAGCCAAGCCAGCCTGCTGGTGGGGCGGGGCTTGGAGAACACATTTAACTTTAGATGGGGAGGGAGGGGAATAAAGAGAGAAAGAAAGAAAGGTGGAAAGAGAGAGAGAGAGAGAGAGAGAGAGAGAGAAAGAAAGAAAGAAAGAAAGAAAGAAAGAAAGAAAGAAAGAAAGAAAGAAAGAAAGAAAGAAAGAAAGAAAGAAAATATATGGGGGAGGGAGAGGTGGAAAGAAAGCAACTTTAACTTTAAATGTGTCCTCCAAGCCCCCCATGCTGGCTGGCTTGGTTTGGAGAAAGGATTTAAAGAGACAAATGCCTTCTCCAAGCTGGCTGGCGGGGGCGGGGGGCTTTGAAAACACATTTAAAGTTGCTTTCTTTCTCTGTTCCCCCCCCATACACCTCACGCCTACCCAGGGAGGGGAACATTGTCTGGGGAAGAGAAGACCGATTGGGGAGGCATGCCTCCCCTTCGCTTCCCCAGCTGCCCTGCTGGGAGCCGCACAGTATGTGTGAAAGAGTCGCATGTGGCTCCCGAGCCGCAGTATGGCCACCCCTGAGCTAGATGAATGGGTGACACCTAATGAAAGGGATGAGGGGGTGGCCAGAAGCCCCCTCCCACAGAACCAGGGAGAGCAGCATGCAGGCCCTCCCTGCCCGTGCAGCTGGTTTGCAATGTGGGGAGCCAAATTAGGTCAAAGTGCAACACGACCATGTTTCCTGCTCACTTGGGGCCAAGCAGAATTATTCCAGAGGGCTTTTTTGCACAGGTAAACAGGACTGTACTGTAATGAGATGGTGAGAAAGTTGTACTGGTAAATGTATAGGAACACTTTGAATGAGGCAGTGATGTGCGTGTACTCTTGGTGCTTTGGGGGGCTACGGTGGGAGGATTTCTGGAGTTCTGGCCCCACTGGTGGACCTCCTGATGGCACCTGGGTTTTGGCTGGCACAGAGTGTTGGACCGGATGGGCCACTGGCCTGATCCAACATGGCTTCTCTGATGTTCTTATAGAGACAGTGGCCTGTACTACTGTATTACTGCCTATTGCTGTAGGCTTGCTCCCAATTTGGGTCACTTCTACACCCCTTAACATGTGATGTTTAAAAGCTCATGCTTGGTTTTGGCTCTGTTTGAGATCTTGTTTGTTCTCTGATTCCCATAGCCCAGACCAATGTTCCCTCTAAGCTGTGGAGTCTTGTGAGCAAAAATTCTACTTTGTGAGCCACTGGCATTAAAGTTGTGAGCGAGCGATTTGGCTACTGCATAAATTAGTTCGCTCTGGGGCCGTCCTTTCTGAGCCAAGACAAAAATGTGCGAGCCGGAAGCTAAAAAACTCAGCTAGCTCACACTAACTCAGCTTAGAGGGAACGCTGGCCCAGACCCTACTGTACTGCTCATTGGGTGTCCCAGCCTGTTGGTTGAACTTCACTTACACTATGAAATCTGCCTTGAGTCTCAGTGAGAAATAAATAAGTAATAAACTATGTGAGACCACCAAAAATGCTGAAACAAGCTCCATCTGGGGTAGGGTGGGGGACAGGAAACAGCAGCTCAGGGTGGGGGAGTAAACTGGGATCAGGTGATGGGGGGGGGTCAATCTCCCCTTCCCCAAGCATCAAAAAAGCAACACGGGCATGCTTCCTCCGCTAGAAATCCTGGGGGCTCTGCGATTCCTAAAGTCCCAGCGGAGGAGAGCACAACCCTGAAGCTGGTTGCAAAGACCTACATCCGGAGAGCCCCCAAGGCCAGACTCAAGAAGGCGGAACAGGCTTTTTCGGAGCATCTCCCCTGGATGCTTTCCACAAACTTGCCAGGGACCAGAGGCTCCCTGTTACCCGCCAAAGTATCCACAAACTTACGTGGCTCCAACCTGGCGCAGCCGAAGGAACGCTGGCGTGAACTGGTAGCGCACAAAGCGCCCCGCGTTCGGATCAATGTCCTTCTTATCGTCATGCTCCCGTTCTGGAATGACACAAAATGGGCACGAGCATGAATGCAACTTTGGCTGGTATACCCAGAAGTCCCTTGCCGTGAAAATTATGCCAGGGCAGGGTCACCCATTGGGCTGCAACGCTCCCTCTAAGCTGTGAAGTCTTGCGAGCAAAAATTCTACTTTGTGAGCGACTGGCATTAAAGCTGTGAGTGAGCGAGTTGGCTTCTGCATAGATTAGTTTGTTCTGGAGCCCTCCTCCCTGAGCTAAGATAAAAATGTGTGAGCCGGAGGCTAAAAAACTGTGAGCTAGCTCACAGTAACTCAGCTTAGAGGGAACACTGTTTGGCTATGACCCATATATGGCGCTGATGCCCTAAAACAGGGGTGTCAAATATGCGGCCCGGGGGCCGGATTAGGCCCCTGGAGGGCTTCTATCAGGCCTGCAGTGGAACTGGCTGTCTTCTGCTTCTTCTTCCACTTCTGCTGCTGTGGCGTCATTGTAGGTTTGCAGCTTACAGATACACACCTGAACCGCATACTCGAGATTGCAACAGCACGGACATTTTGATGTAATAATTCAGAGCAAGAGGTGTTAGTTATCAGACACTGTTAAATAAACAAAATATTAGGTAAAGGTAAAGGTTCCCTTGCTCGAAAGCCAGTCGAATCCGACTCTAGGGTTGCGGTGCTCATCTCCGTTTCAAAGCTGAAGAGCCAGCGCTGTCCGAAGACGTTTCCGTGGTCATGTGGCCGGCATGACTAAACATCAAGGCATGACTAAACACCAAGGCGCACGGAACGCTGTTACCTTCCCAACGAAGCGGTACCTATTTATCTACTTGCAATTTCTTGCTTTCGAACTGCTAGGTTGGCAGGAGCTGGAACTAGAGACAGGAGCTCACTCCATCATGCGGCACCCGTGTCTCGAACTGCTGAACTACCGACCTTCCACAGCCTGCAGTTCAGCGTCTTAACCACTTGAGCCGCTGCAGCTCAAAATATTGCAAGAGTGCTAATGTTTTAAGCATGTTTGTGGTTGTGCCCTTTATAAAGTTTATATCTCTGCTACCTGGCATTACATTTTATGACACACGTGGCCCGGCCCAACAAGGGCTCATTTATGCCAGATCTGGCCCTCATAACAAATGAGTTTGACACCCCTGCCCTAAAACCTTGACTTCCACAACCCAAAGGGCTCAGGTAAGCATGGTTTGAGTAATCAGCATTCAAATGGGCCACACCTCTTGACCGGCAGCCCAAAGACTTTGGCTTTCAAACCGGAGTGTTGGGGGGGGGGGGTTTGAGCATCCACATAACGTCATGGTCTCTGAAGACGTGTGCGTGTACACGAAAGCTTATGCCAAGAACAAAATTGTGTTGGTCTTAAAGGTGCCCCACTGGACTCAGACTCTGTTACGTTCCAATCATGTTCAACTTGTCTTTTCCCCATCCTCAACATGCTATTTCCAAAACCTGCTTTTTGCCATTTTGGGAGAGCGAAGAGCACTGTCTAGTCTTATCATCATGCTGTCTGGATGGGAAGGTGCGCATTTTTTTTAATGTTTTTTTTTATTTTTTTCGATTTTTAACAATTCTAACACTTCAAACAGTGAACAATTAATCTTCCAATTACATTCACATCCTGTAAATAGTTCCTGAGTATGTACAACATTATAACATGTTCAAAGAATTACAATACATTACTCATCACACTTCCGAATATGTTTTCAGTAGAAAGATAACAGACTTGGCGTAAACTTAATAGAAACATTAGGAAGCAATCTGAACTATTGGAGCGGTAAGAAAGAGAAGAAAGAAAAGGAAACTTCTATTATCAACTTACAATAACAATTACTTCATATCATTCGACCATTTGGAAGATTTAATGTGAAATATTAGAGCTAGTGGAGAAGAAATAAGTAAATAAGTATGAGATTTTGCGGAACTAGTCATTACATTTTTAAGGATCCTGCCACAGTTTTGCCATTTTCCCTCTGGCTGCCCCTTGTGAGTGACGACCACTTTCCTTCCCACATCACTGGCCAGCTTTTTAAAAAAACTTGTGTAATCTTACTCTAGCAATTACCAATCTTTTTTTTAAAGCCCATAAAAAGTCCAGCAGAAGGGCGGCAAGGAACAAAGGCATGGGAAACAGTGGCAGGCAGAGTGAAGTTAGCAGAGAGCCCCCACGTGCGGGAGCCCCCTTACCCGTGTGCACGCCTCTGCCCTTGCACGTGCAAAACAGAGAATCCTCCTCATGCAGACGCGGCCTCCGTTGCATGAAGCCATGAGGCTGCTGCAGAGGCTGCATCGGAACTGCCAAGTACCAGCTACTGCAGGGGGGATCGTTCAAGTAGCTTTACAGCTGACTACTGCAGGCATAGCCGCTGGGCTCTTCGCCTGCTACCTGAACCACGTTCCATCACATCTCTCCCTATATATAATTGAATAGTGGGTGCCAAAGTTCTAATTCTAAAATGCACTCCCTTAGTGTATGGCTGATGGCACTGCTCCTCAGCATATATCGCCACCAATCAGAAGGCAAAGCCCGGGTCCCGCCCACACCACCACTGCTGCGACAACCTGGTCTTTTGCATATGGAAGCTGATTGGACTTCAGTCCATTCCACACCTCAAACTCCCCCCCCCCCCCCCGCAAGGCAGTTGTAATTTTCAGTTGCATAACATACCTCATAGGGGAGAGGAGAATGGGTAACAATGGTTACCACTCTCCAGGTGAGGGCTACAGATAACTCAAACATACAAATGCTCTTCAGGTAGCAGAGATCAGTCCCTCCGGAGAAAACAGTGGACTCTGTCATTAAACCCTGCTGAGGTTGCCACAGGAAACTGACACTGTTTGCCCAAAGCCAGAGCACTCTCCCAGAGCCTCTTTCTAGATCCTGTTGTATTTATTTCCGCAACGGGCATTATTTCTAGTCTCTAAATAAGTGGTGCAAATGTGATATTTTGCGTTCGTTTGTCTCAGGTTCCTCCCTGCTTTCTGCCCCCGACTCTGCAAAGATGAGGAATGTGAAACAAAGGCATGATAGGTGCACTCCGGGGTGCCGACATCCAACTTTGTGAGAGAGTCCATGCATCTCAGGACTTGGGGAGAAGGGAAGAAAGGGAATGCAACTTTTGTACCCTGGGCTTGGATCACGGGAATAAAATGCCTAATGACCACTTTCCCGCATATACGCTGCATATCTAAAAGCAGGACAGTGTTAGGGGGGCACGCAAAATGGATTGTGCAAAAGATTTCATCCTTAACGATCATTTGGGGAGGAATACCTTTGGGAATAACTGGTAACCTACTAAGCCAGGTATGGCCGAGACCTGAAGGGTCACCTTCTCCAACACCGAGATCTGAGTCCCATAGAACCAACAAGATTTTCAGCCTACGAGCTTTCAATAGTCTGAGCTCCCTTTGTCTGATGCAAGTAGGAAGGGTGATCTGACGAAGAGCATGTTGACTCCCCAAAGCTCCTGCCCTGAAAATCTTGCTGGTCTTTAAGTTGCCCCTGCACCAATTCCGAACTGACATTTCTGTCACTCGTCTGTCCCTATTGCTTCAGGGTTCCCCCCACCCCACCCCGCAAAGTGTTTTGCTCTGTCTAGTAGTCCCAGAGGAAGCAAAACACATGTGGGAAAGGAGGGGGGCGGGACCCCAAAGCAATAGGGAAAAACGAGTGACAAAAATGTCACTGCAGAATGGGTCCTGGATTCGAATCCAGCTGTTCTACTGCAGATCAACACAGCTGCTCCCTGAAACGATCTTCTCCAACATGGCTCTGCCTGACAGTGGAGGCCATCAGAAACCCTGCTCTGCCCCGACCTGGATAGTCCAGGCAATCCCGATCTCGTTAGATCTCGGAAGCTAACCCGGGCCGACCTTGGCGAGTACTTGGATGGGAGACCTCCAAGGAATTCCAGGGCTGGGGCGCAGAGGCACTCGATAGCAAGCCACCTCTCTGAAATGTCCAAGCCCCACTAAGCCCCAACCATGACTTCCAGGGAGACACACACATAAAGACACACACACACAAATACACATTAAAAAACCCAAAAATCCTGCTCTGTGTGCCCCCCAAAGCTAAGTGGGGGAGCACCAGAGAGCAGATTCCCAGGTGCGGCATTCGAGTGGTGAAGCACCCTCTCCACGGAATCTCGCCTGATACCAAATCTATATCCTTTTAGGTGCCAGGCTAAGAACTTTTTATTTTCTCAAGCCATGTCCCCTCTAAGCCGAGTTAGTGTGAGCTAGCTCACCGTTTTTTAGCCTCCGCCTCACACATTTTTGCCTTAGCTCAGGAAGGATGGCTCCACAGCGAACTAATTTAGGCAGTAGCCAAATCACTCACTCACAACTTTAATGCCGGTAGCTCACAAAGTAGGATTTTTGCTCAAAAAAACATAAGAGAAGCCCATGTTGGATCAGGCCAATGGCCCATCTAGTCCAACACTCTGTCACACAGTGGCCAAAAATACCAGGTGCCATCAGGAGGTCCAGCAGTGGGGCCTGGACACTAGAAGCCCTCCCACTGTTGCCCCCCCCCCAAGCACCAAGAATTAACAGAGCATCACTTGCCCCAACCTGAGAGTCCCTGCCTATATCTTGTGGCTAATAGCCACTGATGGACCTCTGCTCCATATGCTTATCTAATTCCCTCTTCAAGCTATCCATGCTTGTAGCCGCCACCACCTCCTGTGGCAGTGAATTCCATGTGTTAATCACAAGACTCCACATTTTAGACAGAGCATTGCTCTCAAGCCTTCTAGACCCCCACCTGTCAGGGTGTTTTTCAGGTTTGGCTTGCAGAGACTCTTCCAATGTCGTTTTTAGCATATTTCAGATCTGGAGTCGGCTTAAATATGACATGTTAACTGTTGCTTTGTTTTCTACCTTTGATATTTTATTGGGGTTTTCAACTACATTGTCATTTTACTGTTTACTTTACAAGTGGCCTCACAGAGGAGTGGAGTATAAACAGATGCTCTCAACTATTACAAAATGAAGTATTTTACACTGTGGAGAATATGCCCCTCCAGCCGAGAATTCGCCCTAATATTTCAGTTATTGCTATTACACTCTGTGCATGCTCAGGAATCCAAGTTGCAAACTCATAGCTGGTAGGAAGGAGGGGGCTGGGGGAAGGAGTCATCAAGCTCTAAGCACAGAGCACTCATGCTTATGCTAATGACTCTGACCAAAGTAGGACAGGTTTTTACCATCTGATACCCTTCTGGAAGGCGACACCCAAGGGAGCACGGAGGGAAATAGACGAATTGCTGGAATTTGCTCATGAGACAGGACGATCCGAATGATCCCAGGAGGGGAACAGGCTCTCCCAAGGGAAGATTGTAAATTCTCTGGACACAGAAAAGAACCTTATGGCTTCTGATCAGGGAGGCATAGGCAACAAAGTACTAAGTTTTTCCCTAGGGACTCCACCTTGTCCATGCAGTGAGAGACAATGGGAAGAAGTCCCAATTGTAAGAATTAAGATAATGCTGGACTCTGAACTACTGCAACTTCGTAGGGAAGTTTTTTTATTAATGTAACATAAAGGAACATTCAAAGTCGGAATCCACTCCTGCAGGCTGTGTGAACCAGGCCAAAGAGCAGGGTTGGGGGGAAAGGAACAGGCCAGCTAATCCAGGCTGATGCACCGCCTAGCAAGACGGCCACACTGCAACAAGACAGGCCAATGGTCACCCATCTGCTGTCAGGCTCCCCTGGCTTTCTTTACCGCAAAACCCACTGGAAGGGAGGTCAGGACCAGTGTTCCCTCTAAGCTGAGTTAGGGTGAGCTAAGCTCACAGTTTTTTAGCCTCCGGCTCACACATTTTTGTCTTAGCTCAGGAAGGATGCCTCCAGAGCACACTAATTTGTGCAGTAGCCAAATCGCTCGCTCACAACTTTAATGCAATAGCTCACAAAGTAGAATTTTTGCTCACAAGACTCCACAGCTTAGAGTGATCGTTGGTCAGGACCTCCCTGAAAATGGGCTGATGAGAAATTGGGGAAAGTTTGCCTGCTCACTCACCTGAAACTGGGGGCTTGGTGATTTCAAACAGCACCGTGCCCGACTCCATGTCTCGGATTTTGAACCGCGTGAAATCAATCTTGTACACGTTCTCCTCGAGAGTGCACAAATAATCTGCGGGAGGAAAAGTCACAGAGTTAGGATGCATGGCCCTGAAAGACCCCGAGTGGAGGTTTACGCTCTAGCCAAGCCCTCGTGGATCGGTGGGGAAAGCCTTTGTGGCAGGGTTGCATCCAGCACAGAGATCCAGAGGAGAGACCAAAGAGGTGAGATGCATTCCCTAAAATATAATTTTTGCTCTGGTAAAATTCCACAATAAGAAGTAGATCAAGTAGAACACTCATCTTTTGCATGACTCATAATAATTAGTTTAGTTTTAGGCATTTTATAATTATTTTGATATAATGTACTGTTGAACGCTTCTCCTTTCAACATTTCCATGATTTTAAGGTTACATGTACAAATATGTCAAAATATTTTTTGAGCTGAAAGCTAACTTGCTTGTATTTAACGAATTTGTATTATTTTGATAAACGGTCTTTGTCCGCAAATAAACATCATTCATTCATATATGACTTGCTTGACCTTATCGTCACAAAAACAGGCTTTGAAATATGCAGACAACACCTGGTGGATTTCCCCTGCTTTGAGGTCTCCTTTTTCCCTCCTCCCATTGGCAGCGGAGGGAAAAAAATGCGAATTAAGCAAATGTATGCAGGTTGCGGGATTCAGCTTCTATAGGGATGATCTGTTTAAAAATGCCAAAAGTGGCCTTGACCTGGATAGCCCAGGCAAGCCCGATCCTGTCGTATCTCAGAAGCTAAGCTAGGTTGACTCTGGCAAGTACTTGGATGGGAGAACTCCTCGGAATACCAGCAGTCGGGAGGCGGGGGCAGGCTTCATTCAGCCACCTCTCTGAATATCCTCCAGGTCCCCAGTAGGGGTCAGTCACCAGAGGTCGCCATGACTTCCAGGTGCGCGCGCACACACATGCATGCACACACAGGGAAAATGCAAAAAAAGAGAGAGCCAAAAGTGGCCAGAATGCTTGGGAGGGGGAGGACACAGAGCTCAACCTCACATTCTCACAAGATGCACGGCCAAGCCAAAGTCTCAGCTTTCTAGATCCCCCCCAAAAAAAAAACACAGGGGGACCTGGCAGCGTCTCTCTTCCTGCTCCCCACCCCCAAATGCTTTGTGCAGCTGCAAGAGGATTGGACCTTCTGGCAGAACGTAAACAGTAAGCTGCTTTGCAAGCCCTACAGACACTAGAAGCCTGACCCCACGTCTACACACCCCTCTGTTCCTGCTCTGTTCCGTGGGACGGATGGACTCATCACTGGCTTGTCTTAAGCCCGTCGGGGAAGACCATGCGAAGCTTCTTCTCGCTAAGTGGATCTTGGCCGGGACCAGGGGAGCCAGCTGAAGTGCCATCTGGCTCTCCGCATGGCCACCCCTCCACAAGGCTCAGCAGCCGCTAGACGAGAGCTGGGTGAGTGTGGGAAGTCCCCATACTGGCTGTGCCATGGCAGCACCTCAGATCCCTGGCACACGGAGATCGGGACTGGAGCCCTGGCACAGGGCCTGGGCAGCACAGCTCAGGTGTCTTTTCCACCCAGCCTTTCTTCCAAGGCGCTCCGAATGGCACGGGAAGCCATTACCTCATTGCCACCAGGCTGAGCGACTGGCCCAAGGTCGCCCACCAAGCTCTGGGGCAGAGCAGGGATTTGAGCCTGGGTCCCAGACTCCAGTCTAAAAACCACACTGTAGTCTGGCTCCTTCACAGGCTGGACGAACGGCAGAATCCAGGGCATGCAGTCAGGGCCGCCAACATCACATGGTGACTGCTCCCTCGAAGCTGTGGAGTCTTTTGAGCAAAACATTCTACTCTGTGAGCTACCGGCATTAAAGTTGTGAGTGAGCAATTCGGCTACGGCATAAATTAGTTTGCAAAGACAAAAATGAGTGAGCCGGAGGCTAAAAACCTGTGAGCTGGCTCACACCAACGCAGCTTAGAGGAAACACTAAGGAGGCATGCCGCTTCTACAGAGGCTCTGCCTTCCTCAAAATGAGCGCTGTGCCTGGCTCGACAGCTGCAAAGAACTTGGAAAGAATGCCTCCAGCTCCTTGCGGGGGTGGGGGGGCCTGCCAGGGCATGGGGGTCCCATTGGACGGACAGGAGCCAGCCTCCCTCCCTCTCCAGGGCGTTCCTGTCCTGCACAGTGTAAAAAGGTAAAGGTAAAGGTTCCCTTGCTCGAAAGCCAGTCGAATCCGACTCTAGGGTTGCGGTGCTCATCTCCGTTTCCAAGCCGAAGAGCCAGCGCTGTCCGAAGACGTTTCCGTGGCCATGTGGCCGGCATGACTAAACACCGAGGCGCACGGAACGCTGTTACCTTCCCACTGAAGTGGTACCTATTTATCTACTTGCAATTTCTTGCTTTCGAACTGCTAGGTTGGCAGGAGCTGGGAATAGAGATGGGAGCTCACTCCATCATGCGGCACCCGGGTCTCGAACTGCTGAACTACCGACCTTCCACAGCCTGCAGTTCAGCGTCTTAACCACTTGAGCCACCGCAGCTCCCCTGCACAGTGACCGTCCTGTATTTTGCTTTACGCAGCTCAGCCAGAACAGTTCCCTCCCGCTAGGTTCTCCTTGCATCCAGCACCAGTTTCCTGTTCCTTTCTTTAAAACTGGAATTGCCGAGCCTAGCCTGCTCTCATCAGATCCTGGCAGTCCAGCAAGGTTGGCCCCAGTTCGTACTTCGATGGGACACCACCGAGGAAGTCCAGGGTTGTTACACAGAGGCAGGCGACGGCGAGCCACCTTTGAAGTCTCTTGCCTTGGAAATCCTACAGGGCCGCCGTAAGTCGGGTACGACTTGACGGCACTTCCCCCCTGCACCAGTCGTTACGGAACCTATTTTGTATCGCCCGCTACTGTCGATTGAACAGGGGACACCAGCGGCAGCGGCCATCACAACAGAAGTTGCAACACGGGAAGAGACAAATTCATACGCGAAGGTATAAACTAGGGAAAAGCGAGACTCTTCGATCACTCATTAAAACTGAGCGAGATGTTCATTTCATCCATTTCATCCATAGCTGTCACTGAAGAAATGGGCTTGCAGAGCCCGCAGGCAAAGCAACTGACAAGACAGATGCACACCCCAAACACACATTCATAAACACTGGCCAGGGTCTTTCCCCCCCCTTGGCTCAAGTCACAGAGGGTCGCCCCCCCCCTTGCCCCCAGCTTCTTTTCATGCCCTTATCGACTGGGCCAATTTCATTCAGGTCGCCCATAAAAGCATTCATTATTTATTTATTTAATCCATATGTGCCCATCCCTTTCTCCCCAACAGAGGCCCCCAACAGCTTATATCATTCTCCTTGCCTCCATTTGCTCCTCACAACAACCCTGCGAGGCAGATTAGGATGAGAATGTGTGACTGGCCCAAGACCACCCAGCGATGGCACAAGCAGGGATTCGAGCCTGGCTCTTTCCCAGATCCCAGTCCGACACTCTTTAACCACAATGCTACACTGGCTTCATCTCGTCACCTTCTAACCTTTCCTCCCCTTCTCTGCTGCAAGATCGGAAACAAAGAGGAAAAAATTAAAACCAATAAACGAAACTAAAGTCCCCAGAATGGCAGAGCGGCAGCGGCATCCACAAGGGGGCACAGGGATGCCACCATGGGCAGGTCAGTAACAGTATCGAGAACCAGCCGACCAGAGAAGGAAGCAAGGATGGCACCAATCCTGCCAAAACCAGCCAAAGGGAGGAAGAGCAGCGCAGATTCCAAGGGGCCACAAGGAGGCACGCCAGACCCACTCAGACTGGCAAGGGAAGAAGCTTGCCACTCTGCACCCTTGGCTGGGGTCCAGGTGGGGCAGAGCAAGAGGTGCCCACTCCAGCAGGGCTGCAACCAATGTTCCCTCTAAGCTGTAGAGTCTTGAGAGCAAAAATTCCACTTTGTGAGCCACTGGCATTAAAGCTATGAGCAGTAATTTGGCTACTGCATAAATTAGTTTATTCTGGAGCCATCCTTCCTGAGCTAAGAGAAAAAACTGTGAGCCGGAGGCTAAAAAACTGTGAGCTAGCTCACACTAACTCAGCTTAGAGGGAACACTGGCTGCAACATGCTCCCCGCTGTGAGCATTCACCTGCTCCAGGCTACTGACACAGCTGGTGCTACTCTTGGCCAGCCAGAGTGCTCTCCTGGGTGCACCCCCCCCTTCCCACCTGCCGCCATGGCAATTATCTTCTCCCTTTCCCAGGCAGGGAGGGTTGCTATAGAAACAGTGTCAGTGGCTCATCAGAGGGAGGGAGGGAGGGAGGGAGGGGGAGCGGGTGCAGAGTCTCCAGCAAGGAGCTCCTCGGAAGTCCTCTCCTCTCCTTTTTCTACAGAACCTCTGCCCCACAGACTCCTGAAACAGAGCCTGGCCCTCAGGGGGATTTCACCTGGAGCGAAGGCAGTAACTCTCGTCAGGGCACAGGGATTGACAGCAGCTTCCTGTCGGTGAGGCGGGGCTTCCTGTATAGACTGTGTGGCACAGCCACCGGGCCCCAGAGCCAATGGAGTCTCCGATCTCTTAGCAGCCAAAACGGTTGGACTCGGAGAATGGGGAAAGAACAGCACCACTTCAGCGCTCCCTTGCCATGCCGTGGGCCCAGACTCAGCCCCCAGCAACTCTCAGGAAGACCTCGGAGAGAAGCAGCACAGCTCCAATTCTTCGTTGGAGGATGGAGGGACCATCTAAGGGGCTCGATACAGAGCGGCTTAGAATCACAGAATCGCAGAGTTGGAAGGGGCCCTACAGACCACCTAGGCCAGTGATGGCGAACCTTTTAGAGACTGAGTGCCCAAACTGCGACCCAAAACCCACTTATTTATCATAAAGTGCCAACACGGCAATTTAACCTGAACACTGAGGTTTTACTTGAGAAAGAACAACTCATACAAGAACAACTCATACATTAACTTAAGATGACCCAAACAAAGTAAGGAAAGCAATCCCAAATGCTTTCATTTACTTAAAGTTATTTGGCAGAGAATTCGACACTTTAATGATGGTCTGGGCCTGTCTGGGGCGATGGCACGCGTGCCCAC